AATTAGAACTGCTCAATGCCCACCACCAACCTCCCAGTTCAACATTCCTAAGACTCCTAAAAAGATGGTAGCACATCGAAGTCTGCTGTCTTAGTGTAAGGACAACACGTCACTACCTCATCCTTTCCCACATTTCCAAACAGGACTTAGACCAGAGCCAGCTCAAAAGAGCTCTCAATGTCCAAAACTAGCTCCATTTGAGCAACAAAATAAGTAACAGTAGTACTGAATTATAACCCACAGGATAAAATAAATATAAAAGAGTCCTTACTGAAATGAATGAATTAATTGAATAAGTAGAGGAGAAGAACAGCATTTATTTTTTTTAAGAATTCTAATTAATAAGTGTAGAAAAAATGAAAGAAATAGAATCAAATTTAGAACATTACAATAATAGTTGTCACAGGCAACATTGATAGATTCCGAGATCAGTGAAGAAAGTTTAGGAGAAACAGGACATTTGCATCGCCTGAAAATTATCTTTCCAAGGTTATTAATACTAAGGGACAAATAGTAACTTTAAAGTGGAAAAACCTGGCCAACTTCACCATAACCAAGTAATCAAGGTTAACATCACAAGTAATGAAACATATTGACATCATGTAACCCTGATATGAGACAGTAAGAAGAAAAGAAGTCACTTCTGTGGTACTGTCAAAAGTCATAACCTCGATGTAACCGTGACAAAACAAGAGATACACACAAATAGTATGCATTCTACAAAATAACTGGCCAGTGCCCTTCAAAAACTGTCAAGGTCATAGAAAACAAGGAAAGACTGAGGAGCTACCATAGATCAGAGGAGTCTAAGGGAACACAATGTGGGATCCCAGAACAGAAACACAACATTAGTGGGAAAAAATGGTGAGATTTGAGTAAAGTTTAGGTTTATATAAGGTTAAGTCTGTAGCTAATAGTATTACACTAGTGCTGATTTCTTAAGTTTTGTTATTTGTACTGTGGTTATAAAGGGTGTTAACATTGAAGAACGCTGGGTGACAGGTACAGGAAATCTCTGTACTATTCTTACAACTTTTCTGTGAGTCTACAATGATTTCAAAACAAAAAGTAAAAAGCAAAACAAACAGGATGTAGGATCTAAGTGTAACTGAATGAGAACAACTCTGATTTCCTAGGTTAGTCCCATATCAGTAACACTTGGGCTGCAGAGAGACTCCTGGGGAACAGGAAAATTAGGAGGTACACTAACACAGGCCTTACAATTTACAGTCATGTGCCACATAATGACATTTCAGCCAACAATGGAGTGCACATTATAAAGGTAGTTCCATAAGATTATAATGGAGCTAAAAATTCCTCTGGCCTACAGAAGCCATAGCCATCACTCAAGTGGTTTTGATGCTGGTATAAACAAACCTACTGCACTGCCAGTCATCTAAAAGTACAGTACATACAATCATGTACATAATACTTTATCATAAAATGTGTGTTACTGGCTTACATATTTACTATATTATACTTTTAATCATTATTTTAGTCTGTATTCCCACTTATTAAAAAAGGAAGTTAGAGGCCAGGCACAGTGGCTCACGCCTATAATTCCCCAGCACTTTGGGAGGCCGAGGCGGGCAGATCATGAGGTTAGGAGTTCAAGACCAGCCAGGCCAATATGGTGTAACTCCGTCTCTACTAAAAATACAAAAATTGGCCGAGTGTGATGGTGTGCACCTATAGCTGTAGCTACTTGGGGGGCTGGGGCAGGAGAATCCCTTGAACCTGGGAGGCAGAGGTTGCAGTGAGCCGAGATCACGCCACTGCACTCCAGACTGGGTGACAGAGCAAGACCCTCTCAAAAAAAAAAAGGTTAACTGTGAAATAGCCTCAGGCAGGTTCTGCAGGAAGTGTTCCTGAAAAAGGCAGTGATATCCCAGGAGAGTTCAGCTCCATGCATTGCCCTGCAGACCTCTCAGAGGGATAAGACCCTGAGGCAAAAGACAGTGGTATTGGTGATTCTGCTCTGTTAGGCATAGGCTAGTGTATGTTTTTGTGTCTCAGTTTTTAACAAAAATGTTTAAAAGTTATAAAAAAAATTCAATGAAAAAAGCTTTTAGAATAAGGATATAAAAAAAATTTGTAGAGCCATTTAACGTGTTTGTATTTTAAGCTAAGTGTTAATACGAAAGATCAAATATTTTTTAAAATTTAAAAGTTTATGAAGTAAAAATGTGACAGTATTAATGTTAATTATTGAAGAAAAACGCTTTAAATAAATTGAGCGTTCAGCGTACAGTAAGCAGCACCCTAGTAACGGCCTTCACGTTCACTCACCACTCACTCGCTGACTTGCCCAGAAAAGCTGCCAGTCCTGCAGGCTCACTTCATGGTGAGTACCCTATGTAGGTGTATATTATCTTTTATAAGGTATTTTTGTCTATGTTTAGACACGCAAATCCTTACCATGTGTTACAATTGCCTACTGAATTCAGTATAGCAACATGCTGTTCAGGTTCACAGTCTAGGAGCTCCACTATAGTCTAGGCTATACCCAATGCGCCAGGTGTGTAGGTCACACCAACTAGGTTTGTGTAGGTACTCTCTAGTATGTTCAGCAATATAAAAAGCCGAATGACACATTTCTCAGAATATATCCCTGTCATTAGCAATACCTGACTGTATTTGTGGAGATACATATATGTAAAATTCTTAGTGTATGAAGAGTAAAAATTCCAGCCAAAAGCAGGAGTGATGTCTGCACCATCTAGCTCATGACTTTTTATAAAGGAAATTGCTTCTTACTTATGTTCCCCATACAGACACAGCGCCATCGGTATGAGAACAACCCCAGCTTGTTATAAGAATGATTGCTTTATGATTAGGATACCAAGTAGATGTGTATTTGTTTGTTTCATTCAACTTTCAGGGATTGCTTTATAAAATATTTTGTTTCTAGCTCAAACCCAGGTCTATGTGATTCTAGTGCTGATGTTCTTAACCCCCAGTCAGTTTCTGTGATTCCTGCCTTCCCTGTCCTGACTAATGGCCCTACAGATATCCTCGAGTGCCTCGTACCAGAAACTCAGCAGTCACTCTTCAGTTTTTCTCTCCTTTATCCTACCCTCATCTGCTATTTATTCTGCCTCCCTAAATTTATCCCAAATCTGTCATCTCTTGTCCCATCACCATTGATTTAGTTCTGGTCTTGCTCATTTCCCCTCCAGACTGGAGCAGAAACTCCCTAACTACTACTTTCTGGCCTTGAGGACTTTGGTATTGATATTAGATTAGCCTACTGGCCACCTAACAAGGTGGACACCTCCTTGTTAAGGAGAAAATTTTGATTCTCTACATTTTAAAGATTCTAGGAGGCTAAAGGAAACAGTGATAGCCTTGGAACTTCTGTTTTTCAGGTTTGTCCCTGGGAGCAACCTTGCTGGCTGGATCTCTTGAGCCAAAGGTATTGACAAATCTCACCCTATACCTGGCCTGACTCTCAGACACCAGCCAGTTGGCCTCCCTAGACCTTTAGTATTTCAAACTTCTTTTAAATCTTTTTTTTTTTTAATGAAATCTAACAAAGAACCTTAATGTAAACACCCTAATATAAGTGTTGTTCTATCATGTTTTGCATCCAAATATGCAAATCTGGATTTGGGGAAATCCAAATGATAATGTTTGTTTGTTTGAAGCTCTGTCTCCCAGGCTACAGTGCAGTGACTCAATCATGGCTCACTGTAGCCTCGACCTCCTGGATTCAAGTGATCCTTCCACCTCAGCCTCCAGAGTAGTTGTGACCACATTTGTGCGCCACCATGCCCAGCTAATTTTTATTTTTGTAGAGACAGGATTTTGCCATATTGTCCAGGCTGGTCTTGAATTTCTGAGCTTAGAGGCATGAGCCACTGAGCCCAACCTACTTATTTATAATGCAAGTTGACATGTCTATATGAAAGAACTTCCCAAACTAAAATCAGAATAATTGGTTACTATAACATTTGTTGCACTCATAACATAGTAGGCACAGCCTTAACTGCTTAATGAGGATCAGGTCTTTCAGTCTTTTCAGCATCCCTAGAAGGCAGATCAGTGAACTTATTTTACAGTTGGAAGTAGAGAGAGCTTCTATAATATGCCTGAGGGTGTATAGTGACAGAATGTAGGCTTGAATTTTAGGTAGTCTGACTGCACAAACCCCATCTTACTCCCGGTGTCGTACTGTCTTTCATGAGATTACACAGACTTCTGTGATAATGATGAGAGTGATCAAGATAATATCCACAACAGCATTATACCACCACCATCTATTTTTTGTTCAGAGTGGGCTCTGTGCTGAGTGCTTTAAACACCGTATCTTGTTGAATCCTATAGCTGTCCTATGAAGTAGGCACTGTTGTGCTGATGCTGAGGTAATAAAGTGTAGTGGCTGAATTTGAATCCACTGCCTCCTAGCTCAATGCTATTCTACAAGTGCAAACGTCACAGGGCTGGTATGAGAATTTAATGAGACAGCCCATGCAAAGCCAAGACACCTAGCATGTGGGAAGCACTCAGGTTTATTCACTCTCAAAATCTGACCCACATGGGTAATCTTTGTTAGGCTTACATTGTACTCTTGGGACATTCCTCAGAGAAGTTTCAAATGCAGATCAGTTCATTTAAATTCATCTTGCTGTACAAGTTGGCAAACAGATTGTTTCCAAAGTGTAAAACATCAGCATATGACTTTTAATGTTTCAAATTGTACTTTTAAAAATAATTATAAATGTGTTTTTGAAATGATATCAAACTATTTGTGGGACCCTGGGATGACCTCCAGGAATTTTACAGTTCTTTAGAACCTTGTGTGGAAACTGCCATTAATAAGATCAGTATCCTTCTAAACTCTGAGCTTCTATTTCACCTCCTTGTTCTGTCTCTTATCTTGTTCTCAACAACCTGTATTCTGACCACCCTTGCCCCTAACTCCTCTCCCAGCAGCTCAGTGGCTTTTCTGACCAAGTTCTTTACCTGAACTGCTCAGCACCGACCTCCATGCCTCTTACCTGTGCTTCAGCCGAAGTTTAACCCCTCCTGACCACGCTGCTTTCCTGTGCTGGGGGCCAGAGGTGAGGTGTTCTGAGCTGAGGAAGTTAGAGTCACCAATATCTGCATGGCCTGGGTCTGCACACACATCTCTGTCAAAAATAGAAAAATAAGAAGCTGAGCATGATGGTGTTCATGGACAGAAGCACAAATGAATCCCAACAAACAAACAACCAAAAACACATGAAAATGAACCCTGGAGCCAGAGCAAAGCAGCACAGCTAAGTGCAGAGTTCTAAGCCTGCACCTAACAAATTCTCTGCCCTACGAAGCCGAATCCATTACCAAGCGTCATCTTCCTTTTTTATCTATGTTCCTGTGAGGCTATAAAACATATTTCCCAATCTCAGAAAACCCAGATTTTCTAAGCAAAAAGGAAGAAAGTTATATTAACTGTTATGAAGACAAATTCCCCTATAATTTGGTTTTGGTAACAAGGGAAAAACTGGATTGACTGATGCAAACTGTCAAACGAGATGGTTTGAAACCAAGCCTCTGCCACCTTGCTTCTCAAGTTCACTTTAAGGATTGTGATCTCCAAGTGTAACAGCCCTTGCTCTGTTCAGTGGGTGGCAGCTCAGAAGCACATGCCAAGTCTTGAGCTTGAGCTATTTCAGATTGTTTAGATTCCACTGCACTGGGAGGCAAGCCTTTTGTGTGTCCATTTAAATCCACCCTCCCACCCCCAGTCTCTAACACCATTCCCATAACTCTCTTCCTCCATACTCCCAGGGAGTCAGAGAAATATTTTAAGCTCTACATGGCCAATATGTTCCGCATGGGAATAGGCACATTTCTTCTCCTTAGGGCAGTGCCAGGTCATGAATTTCTAAGAACCCTGACAGCACTCTCCATGTCTCATTGGTCTCTCCCCTGCATCAGGCTTTGAATTTCTGTCATCATCTCAGTTTGTGGGGTACCAGTGGTTTATTTTCAATTTCTGTCTTCAAGGATTTTTCTGAGCCTCTGAGATCCAACTGGTGGGCCCACGAACAGGAATCTGGAGAAGGTACAAACAAGGCCGTGACTCCTCTGCACAGGCCCTGGCTGAGAGGGGATGGGATTACTGAACAGCTGTTAAGAATAAGCCCTGTCCATCTGGCCTTCTATTTCCTGGAACATAGAATGAAAGTGAAAAAGCTTTCTTTCCTAAATCGTAAGGCAAATGAAAGGATTTCTTTTTATTCTACAGCATGGGTGAGATGGCCAGGAGGGCAACAGGGAGTTTCTATGTCTAAGCTCAAGTTTTCATGTTTATCTTAGTTATATCTAAGCACCACCACCTCCTTCTGTACATTACTCTTCTCACTGAATTTTGAACTCTAGGCTTTGGATATATTTAATACAATGCTGGACTTGCAGTTTGAAAATTGGTTGAGCTTATGTCAAAAGGAAATTGAATACACTGGGCAGGTAAATTCTGAGTCTCAGGCACCTCATCCATTGTAAAGTGAAACCAAGAGGCAGTGTACCATGGTTAGGAGCAGCATGGCTCTGGAGTCTGAGTCCTAGCTCTACCCACTGAGCAGCTCTGTGACTTTGTCTTCTCTGTGCCTCAGTTACGTCATCTATAAAATGGGAGCATAGGAATAATCAGTGACTAGAAAGTAGAATAAAAAATATCTCATCATCCAATACCTGACTGTGAAGATTATATGAGTGTAAACAGCACACTCCAAGACGAGCCATTAGTACAATCTGGGGAGAGACTTTTCCTTTCCAGGTCCCCTCTAAATCCTAACTTTGTTTGTTGGGGGAAAACAATCAAGATCAGGCCTGAACTTTCATAAAACCTTTGTAGTATTTAATAACGTTCTCATTTTTTGGGTAAACCAAAATTTTTGCCTCCATTTTTTTTTTTTTTTTTTTGGCACAATGGCTTGGGCACCAGAGACTGACCTCTTTTCTCTTTTCACTTCTCCTTTCTGGGAGATCCCTAGAGACAGAGGAATAGGAGTGGTGGTTGTCACAGTGAAGGGATGGCAGGAAGAGCAGGCAGACCAGAAAGAGATGGAAGCATGAGGAATAGAACATCATTCCATCGATTTAAGCATTTTCAATGCATGTTTCCTTTCTAGCCTAGAAAAGAAGAGACCAGCACCCCAGGACTGCCCCCAAAACCATGCTGTCCTCCTACTTATCACCCTCTAGAGGACCAGCTGAAGTTAGCAATTGGGTGTGAGAATCTTAAAACCCATTTTGATTGTTGTTCATTGCAAGGAGCAAAGATTAGGAGGAGCAAAGATTAGCTCCTCCTAATCTTTGCCCTCCTGCCCTGGATTGGTTAGCTCTGGACACCAGAAAGAGTCTGGGCACCTGAATGGGCTGTCTGGATGCACCACACAAACTAGAAATCAGGCTGAAGAGAGTGCTGGAATCACCAGCAGAGCAAACACACCTTTCCTCCCTTCAACTCTTTCTGAAATAACTTGGACAACAAACACACAATTTAAAAACTCACATATTCAAAACAAAAACCCATAGTGAACCTTGGAGGAAAATAGTCCTGGCAAGAGTGTTGGGAAGGCTGTCATCCCAGAGGCCAGGGCCCTGGCATCGTTTTTTTTTTTTTGCCCTTCCCTCCTCCCTTACCTGTACACGGAACACCATACATTGAATTCATGCTGTCTCCAGAATGCACATTTTCTTACCCACCTCAGGTTACTACATTAACTGCCTCAAAACAGACTGCAGTAGACGAAGACTGCAATGTGCTTTGACCTCATCAGGAAATGGTGCCCCACTGGTGCTCCAATGGGAGCTCCAATAATCTACATGCCTCAGGTAGATTATTCCAAGTCTTTCTTACAAAAAAAAGGTGTGCTTTTCTATGTGCCAGATATTATTCCCATAACTTAAGGAGCAAATGATGAGGGTTAAGTCCCATTTTACAGATTTGACAACCTGAAATAAAGAGAAGTTATGTAAATTTGCTCAAACCACATATGGAATCATATTCCCTTGGGACTGTCAACCACTCATTCTCCTTCCTTTCAGTGTAGAAGGTTTCAAAAATGTTTGATTTATGCCACAGATTTTGTAGGCTTTAGAATTACTAACCCAGATTTAGTAGGGAATGGTGATGGTAGAGCCATTAACTAAACATGCTACCAAATGAGCTCACTTTTACTTAAAAGACACTAAAAGGCACAATGTTTCACTTAAAGATAACCAATGATATATTATTAAAGCCTGGGAATCAATGAATCCAGTTCAAGTGAAAAATACTGGGATAAACTATACACTCTCCAGGCCTACTGGGCTACTTCCAGATCCCTAAAAGTACTATCCTCTTCTGCCTTATCTGTCCTCATCCTTCAGGTTTCAATTTTGACATTTCTTCAGAGGAACTGTGGGAGTCAGGGTAAGGGAGCCCCTTGTGTGCTCACAGTGCACGTCAAAGTGCACTTCACACCGACTGCCAGCTGCCTGCTTGCTGGTCCCTCTCTTCCACAGCTCAACAACGATAACCCGGCTCAGCTTAGTACCTGGCACAGAGAGTCGCTCAATAAATATTTGTTGAATGAATAAAGTACAGATGACCCTTGAACAACACGAGTTTGAACTACGCGGGTCCTCTTACATGCGGATTTTTTTTTTTGCAAACAAATGTATCCACCTCACCTGTCTTCCCTTCCACCAAGACAGCAAGACCAACCCATCCTCTTACTCCTCCTCTGCCTACTTAGCATGAAGACAATAAGAATAAAGACCTTTGTGATGATTCACTTTTGATTAAGTAGTAAATGTATTTTCTCTTCCTTATTATTTTCTTAGCATAATAACATTCTTTTCTTTAGCATACTTTGTTGAAAGAATAGAGTACCTAATGCATATAACACACAAAATATGTTAATCAATTATTTAAGTTCTTAGGCTTCCAGTCAACAATAGACTATTGATAGGTTTTAGGGAAGAGTTGTAAATGGATTTTTGACTCTACGGGTCAGCATCCCCAACCCCCCTGTGTTGTTCAAGGGTGGACTGTACTGCTAAATGTTCAACAGATCTGCAGCCTTTCTTCCCTCCTATCTCCTTTTAACTCACAACTTGGTGGCAAAACTAACAAGGCATTTCTTGGAACTGTTTTATGTTTATGTTTCTTGCTGTTCTCCGGTATTCGTATCTCATTATTACCACCATGAGTGATGAGCTAGGAATCAAAGCTGACCTCAGAAAGTTTAGCAGAGGCTAAAAAAAATATACTGCAGTATATTGACTTTCTTCTTCCAGACAGTTAACCAAGAAAGCCAGCCAGACACCCACGTATGTCTACTTCCCATGATGAGGACATTCATATTTGCTCTGTCTGCCACCCAATATTCATAACTCCAGAATATATACTGACTGCTTTATTATTTGCTTTTTGTTTGTTTCCTTTTGTTTTTAAGACAAGGTCTTGCTCTGTTACCCAGGCTAGAGTGCAGTGGCACAATCTTGGCTCACTGCAGCCTTGACCTCCCAGGCCCAGGCTCAAGTGATCATCCCACCTCAGCCTCCCAAGTATCTGGGATCACAGGTATGCACCACCATGTCAGGTGAATTTTTTTTTTTTTTTTTTTTTTTTTTTTTTTTTGTAGAGATGGAGTCTCTCGACATGAACTGGTCTTGAACTCCTGAGTTCAAGCAATCCACGCACCTTGGCTTCCTAAAGTGTTGAGACTACAGGCATGAGTCACTATGCCCGTTCTTTTTGGTATTTTAATAGTGTCCATTAACAGCTTGCTGAACTGAGTTTCAGCCAATGAAAGAAGAAAGGGTTCCAGATCATTCCATTCCTTGGGGCTCTCTTGAACAATGTACAAACTAGGAAAGGCTGGGGAAACTGGAGTAAAATACATGAGGAGCCAGCAGGCATGGTCTCTCCAGGTCCCCTTGCTTCCTGGTTTCTATTGAGTTTGCATTTTCCTATTTTATCCTTAAAGGGGAGGGTTGGAGGAATGGCATGGGCTGTTACAACCTTAGGGAAGTACTTGGTTTTGTCTGTTAGAATCAGTCATTTCCTCCTTTTTTGTTATGTTTCATCCAGGAGGGAAAGCTTCCTGGCTGGCCTCTCCCTTCCACTCTGTCCCCTTTAATCTAGTGTCTACCC